AACCTCGTAAGACTGTTGATCTGATAAACCATCATCCCATGTAGTTTATTGCACTCTTGTTCTTGATTTCCCTTTTTAAAGTACCGAGTGGCTAACTACCTGGAAAAGTATAACAAATTGCCCACTCATAAATACAGCGCTAGAGTCCTGAAGTATGGCAATTAACCTTTTTATTTAATCAATGTTTTGTAGCAGGGTAATTGGACAGCCTGAATTGCCAGATGGGCTTCAGTAATTTCATTGTAGAAGAATTATAAGCATACTGTGTATTTTCCATAGCTCTTTGTGGCAAGGGCCATGTACGTCAATGTTTTGGATTGGGAGCCATTGTGCCACAGGACAAAAATGTAAGATTTGATTTGTGTTTCGTCTCTTTTTGGGGTGGGGCGTGGGGAATAAAGGATATTTTGGAGAGGAGCCAAAATGATATCTTGTCACTTGATAACTCCTGCCAGTCCTCTGCACTGTGTAGTCCACTTTTGCTTAGTTTTGAGATTTATATGCCACTTTTCCAGTGTTCTTAAATTAGATGGTGGGCTCACAAGTTAATCCTGAGCACACCAATTGCTGGACTTAGTGTTTGTTTTTGAATAATTTTATTGAGTTTTACAGATTTTATCATCATCACAATCAACATTATCTCAAAAGCAAAATAGATTATAACCCCCCCCCCATGACTTCCCCAACTTCTATTTCTGGTTCTTTGAGTATTTACTTCCCCTGCTTGTTTTATTTTACCTTAATAGGCAGTTTTTAACTTAAATATCCCAACAGACTTGGGTGGGGGCTGAAGACACCACAATCCTATAGAGTTGTCGTCTGTGGAAGGCATGAAGAGTTTCTGCTGCTTTATTGCAGTGCTGTTTCCATATTCGAGCTAATCATTGTCTCTCAGACTAACCTGCATCACAGGGCTGTGGTGAGGATGAAACAAGGAGGGAAAGAATCATGTACACAACCGCAAGCTCCTTGGAGGAAAGGTGGTGGTATAAAGCGTGTGTGTGTGTGTGTGTGTGTGTGTGTGTGTGTGTTTCATATGGCTTTGAGAAGATGTCAGTGATGTCTTGTTCATGGTTGAAATTCCCCTTAAAAGTTTTAGGTGAAATGCTTCTGGGAGATGATATATAATGAGATGAAAAAAATGATGAAATATACATTCATAAAGAAACCAGAAGCATTTTTACTCAGCATTGTGGGGAGTGATATAAATAGAAAGGAATGTAAGCTCTTTTTATATGCAATAACAGCAGCAAAAATATTACTGGCCCAAAAATGGAAGCAAGAAGAATTACCGACAATTGAAGAATGGAGAATGAAGTTAATGGACTATGCAGAATTAAATAAACTAACAGGAAGGATTCGAAACCGATGGGACCAGAAATTCACGGAAGACTGGAGTAAATTTACGGACTACTTGAAAAGTATTTGTGAAGATCAGATGACGTTTGTAGGTTTGCAAGATGTTTTGTGAGGAGTATTATTGGAAGTATTGCAAAATTGGAGAAGGGGAAGGATGATTTGTTAAGAGATGTAAAGGCAATATAAAGTTAAGAAGTGGTTAAAACAGTGGGTCATCAGAGGTGCTGATGGAAGTCTAAAAAGATTGTATAAGTGATAAGTTTTGTGGTACATTTTATAATTTATATGTTAAAATCAATAAAAATTTAAATAAAATAAAAGTTTTAGCATGACTTAAATTGTGATGTCTTTTTTATTTTTTAAAACAGTTGCCATCCAATTTTATCACGACACTTCCTCTAGGCATGGTGTGTGGGGAGAAAATGGACATATGGCAACCTCTAGGGTTTCCGCTCCAAAGAGAGGAACTGAAGTGACAGACTAGGCGCTAAAATGCACTGTTGGCCAAGTATCACTCTTTCTATCTCTCACATTCGTGTCTGAAGAATGCTCAGTTGATTTTCGGTTCTGTTGTTTTTATCCCAATATCTGTCATAATGTTGACTGTAATTGTGGGAGGCAAAATGTGTTTTGCCTTAGAAAGGAGAATGGTCTGCATGGAATACATCTTCTCTAACATCTTCTTTCCCACTAATGCACTGATTTTAAGGGCAACACTTCTTGGAAGAATTCTTTTTCCTAATGACCAGGAACCAAGTTTCTTTTGATCTTCCTCTCTGGAACAGATGCTTAGTAATTTATTCCTTTCATTGAGACAGGTAGAAAAAAGGCATTATAACTGGAATTTTTTGTTTAGTTTTTTTTTGCTGTCACGGGTATAGTGTATGTCAAGACACAGAAATGTTTCAGAGATAAAGAATAGACTCAAAAAGTAGGTGTCTGTTATTGTTGCACAGTATATATAGTCTGTTAAACTTTGTGATCATTTGTTATACATCAGGAGTTGTAGGATATATGTGTTTTCGTTCCAAGAATGGAACAACCCACACAAAAGAAACTGTAATGACTGAAACCTGTAGAACCTTTTGCCCATTTGTCTAGTTAACTTAAACTCTTCTTTTCTTCTCTTCAGCTAGGCTGAAGAAATCTAGATAGATTTAATAAATGATTGGAGAGCACTCGAGACACATGATAGCAGATCTGGAAATTCTGCTCCTTATATAGATATTTTTATTCTAAAAATTGTTTAGTTGTCATTCAACTAATGACAGGTGGGGAGGACTCCCTGGTCCTAAATGGGGTAACTGTGCCCCTGAAAGACCAGGTGCGCAGCCTGGGAGTCATTTTGGACTCACAGCTGTCCATGGAGGTGCAGGTCAATTCTGTGTCCAGGGCAGCCATCTACCAGCTCCATTTGGTACGCAGGCTGAGACCCTACCTGCTCGCAGACAGTCTCACCAGAGTGGTGCATGCTCTAGTTATCTCCTGCTTGGACTACTGCAATGCACTCTACGTGGGGCTACTTTTGAAGGTGACCCAGAAACTACAACTAATCCAGAATGTGACAGCTAGATTGGTGACTGGGAGTGGCTGCCAAGACCATATAACATTGGTCCTAAAAGACCTTCATTGGCTCCCAGTATGTTTCCAAGCACAATTCAAAGTGTTGGTGTTGACCTTTAAAGCCCTAAATGGCTTCAGCCCAGTATACTTGAAGAAGCATCTCCACCCCCATCGTTCAGCCTGGACACTGAGGTCCAGCTCTGAGGGCCTTCTGGTGGTTCCCTCACTGCGAGAAGTGAGGTTACTGGGAACCAGGCAGAGAGTCTTCTCGGTAGTGGAATGCCCTCCCATCAGATGTCAAGGAAATAAACAACTATCTGACTTTTTAGAAGCCATCTTAAGGCAGCCCTGTTTAGGGCAGTTTTTAATGTTTGCTGTTTTATTGTGTTTTTAATATTCTGTTGGGAGCCGCCCAGAGTGGCTGGGGAAACCCAGCCAGATGGGCAGGGTATAAATAATAATAGTTTAATGATATTATTATTATTATTCATCTGCTAAGGACCATGAACACAAATGTATCAGCAATGACAAACTATCAAAACAAGGTAAGGTTGCAAGGATAGAAGTTCTCCTAGCAGAATCACTGACATTAACTGTTTAACCAGCGGAATCACAAGACTAACTATTTCATGTGGTGCATTTGCCACTGCCCATATCATCTGTTGCTCTCTAGGCAGGCATTTTTGAGTAAGGGTGGAGAAGCATAGCTGTGAGGTATTGGATGTTGAGTCGGAAGTGTAGTCCTGGCTTCACCACTAGCCATTTTAGTATTGTCATAGTTCAAGTGAGATGAAAACTAAAGGCCACTGTATGAAACTAGCACTTGGAGCTGTTCCAGACTTGCCCTTGTCCCACCTCTTCCCCCCAGGGAAACTCAATGCTTACTGCTGAATTAGAGCCAACTTCAATTGAGTTTTCTTCAGAATGACGTTTGCTCCAATGTATCTCCAAAGAGCAGGTTTTCTGGGGGAAATAGAGGAGGGAGGGCAAAACCACTCAGACCCATATTTTCTAGGCACAGGGCAAATGTACATCTGGAAGACGTCTTTATTTGGACTCTACCACTTCAAGCTACAATTGCGTTGGCAAGGAAGGGAAGTGATTGTTTCCTCAAAGAAACAAAACCTTATCCCTCCCACACACAAAAACCAAAGGCATAGAATCCTTGAGAAAAGGCATCAGTCTGATTTTAATCTCTGACATGCTTGTTTTCTATGTGAAAAGAGGGTTTTTTTAAAAAGCATGCAAACATCCACCCCTTCTTAGCTTGAACTGATAGTATAAACTGATTCCTTTCTTCCCTTCCCTGCAGATGACGGGTGAGTGGGAATTGGAAGCTTATCTCATTTCATGCCTGAACGAGAACATATACTAGTCATCTATATTTATTTATTTTTAAGTTTTATTGATAGTTCGAAAGCACATCAAATGCAAGTGGATAAATAGGTACCACTCCAGCGGGAAGGTAAACGGTGTTTCCGTGCGCTGCTCTGGTTCGCCAGAAGCGGCTTAGTCATGCTGGCCACATGACCCGGAAGCTGTCTGCAGACAAACGCCGGCTCCCTCCGCCAGTAAAGTGAGATGAGTGTGCAACCCCAGAGTCATCAGCGACTGGACCTAATGGTCAGGGGTACCTTTGCTATGGTATCTGAAAGTTTGGAAGGAGGGAGGTTGGCAGGCTGTTGGTTGAGCCACTGTACCGATTCCCCCCCCCCAAAAAAGCTCAACAAATCTGGGCAATGCTCCCCCCAAAAAGCTTGACAACTCTTGGCAATGACAATGGGTAGATCACTGCCAGTTTTATTATCCTGGGAGTAGAGCACAGTCTCTCGAGAGTTGGATGTGCCTGGTATATACCCACGTGTATTTTCAGATTAAGTGGTCCACAAATCTCTCTAAATAAATAATATACATGAATAGCAGGTTAGGAACTAAGCTACTCCTCCTTTTCTCCAGAAAAGAAAGAAAGAAAGAAAGAAAGAAAGAAAGAAAGAAAGAAGAGAAAGAAGACAGAATAAGGAACATTTATGAGCAAATGCAACTACAAGCACTTACAGGCTTCAGTTGAGAACTATGGAGTTAAGGCAAAACTAAAAAGGAAAAGAGATTTTGAAGGAGAAAGGTGGAAATTCTCTGGGAGTGAGTGACAGGTGTATGGGGCATCAAGGGAAAATGAGAGGGAGCAGGAGTCTTGTGTGTAGCTGCAGAGTCTGAAGACAGAAGGCAAAGATGGTGAGGTAGTGGAAATCATGGGAAACAGACAGTACTGCAGAGAGGTTTTTAAAGATCCACCTTCACTTGGTGTTTTTTTACTTTTGGAGTAGTAGGAAGGCAGGGCCCCACTGCAGACTAGCAGTAATAAATATGATCTCTTTCAGACTTGATGGACTGACTTTTGCATCAGGAATTCCTGGCAGCTGTTACTCATCTAGTGGGAAACAGGTGATTCATCCTCAGCTCCAGATAAGCAGAGGCAGCTTTCGTGCTAGAGCATCTATATAGAAAGCAGTCTATGAAAAACAAACTAGTCTTTGAAAACACCGCAGGTTGACAGCTTGCAGCCATACTACCCCCAATTTACTTGCAGAGACTGCCTCTGATAGTAACATCAAAGAATGGAGGAGATTCGTCTGCACAGCAGGGTTCCGACAAGCTGAGTTGAATTTTGTGAACTAGAGTTGAGCCCAGTTCTCTATTATCTGTGATACTGATTCTCCTTTACGGGCACCATTCTTGACAACAGACACCTAAGCAAAGAATGGCAACTTAGTGCTAGAATTGTAGGGAGAATGTTTAATCATTAAATCACATCCCACAAGTGAAAATGGGGAGAAAAGGTGTCTCTCTCCAAAATAACTTAAATACAACTCCATAAAAAGATTGGCGGGGCGTGGGTGGGGAGCTTAGCAAGCCTTCTGGAACTTCCTCAGACTTGAGATTTGATGATAATGTAAAAATAAATGTTTAGACCAGGCACAGGCAAACTCGGCCCTCCAGATGTTTTGGGACTACAACTCCCATCATCCCTAGCTAACAGGACCAGTGGTCAGGGATGATGGGAATTGTAGTCTCATAACATCTGGAGGGCCGAGTTTGCCTATGCCTGGTTTAGACTGTAGGTATTTTTGATGGCCTGGGACTTGGGCTCAGACTCAGAACCAGAGGAGTCTCAGTCTGCACCGGATCCTTTGCCTCAGGCATCACTGCAACCAAGTCTGGGGCCTGATCCTGAAGGGTCCCAGTCTGCACAGGCTCCCCTGCAACAAACACCAGCTGGGCCGAGTCAGGGACCTGAGCCTGCCTTGGCTCCAGATGCAGCGATTACCTCGTTGCCTTCAGCTGGGCCATCACTTACAGCTGCTCCACTACCGGTTTGGTCGGGGAGGCTGAGGCAGCCCCTGGGTCTAGTAACTCACCAACGTCTCCCGAACTGCAGAGACTAAGGTCTGAGAGAAGGAGAGACCTGAGTACTCACAGGAGGAGTGCTTGCCTTTGGGCGAAACAGGGAGGTGAGTCGCCGGGTGATCAGGACCGGCCGCTACCCTGACAAAGATAAAAGGCTGTCGGACCCCACCCCAGGTTGTGGGAGCAACATTGCAGTATGCTAGATCCTGCCAGAGATCCTGTACCTGTCCTTGCCTGGTTTCCTGCCTCGTGTTCTGCCTTGGCCCCGTTGGACTGACTCCTAGTGGAACCTTCGGATTCTGGACTGGTCCTGGACCGTGTTTCACGGGTTACTCCCGGGCCCAGCACAGTATTGCTAGTTATTCCTGCATTGCTATTATTTCTTTCCAGACAGATTCCCCCTTTTCTCACTCTTTCTAGTACTCCAGAGGACTTCTAACTGGCCCCCTTGTGTAGGAAAACAAAATTATGTCATTCAAAGGGGCAATACAGAATTCTTGTAACGCTCCTACCTAAAAAGGTCATTTGACTATCTAGGGCACAAATCCTACCATGAAGTTCCTTGCTAATTGGTCAATATTCCTGCCAAACCCTCTTCATGGTAAACTCAAAATAATTACTATTCAGGAATAGCCTTGGCCTAACCTAGCACAGCACACTTTTGGCAGTGTGGTTGCTGTCAACTGCCTTACAGTTTTTGTTTTTTTACACTTAGCTCCCCCTCCCCTATTGTTTTCTTTTAAATGTCACTTTTTCCTTAAGGGCCTGTGCTACTGGCCTACTTAACCTCCCCAGATCACTTCCCTCTGCATTAGCCAGCTCTATTGTTCAGGCAGTTTATTTTATCTGACAGTCGTGGGAGATGATTTACTATTGGCCTCTGCTATTTCCATTGTATGTTTAAGAGCCAAGGCAGATGTGACTGGTGTTCCAGAGTTCTTCCAGTTAAGAGTGCAAAATTTTGCAGAGTAACGGACACCAAAGTAGAAGCTGAACTAAGGAAATAATTAGGGGGAAGATAAAGTTTGAGGTTTGCTTATTTTATATGCTGTAGCGAACTGTTTTCAAAGTGTCTCACAAATTACACGCATCAGATTATTATCAAAATGCAAAACATTGGTGGGGAGGGGGAATTTGTTACGAAACATATCAATATAAATTCAAATTAGACAAAAGCCAATTCAACAGACATATAATAAGATTCAGTATTGTTGTAAACAAAATCTGCCCTTTTTCCCTTATGGGGTATCCAAGAGCCCATATAGAGTCCTTAAGTGGGTTCCCTATCGGTAGGAGAAAATAACAGAGGCCAACCAGAGAATATTGAGAAGCAAAACAGCTAGTAAGCCTGATCTTTATTAAAGCTGTTGCAACAGGGTGCTCCCCTCACACACAGGAGGACGGAGGAGGACCCAGAACAAAGGTGTGCCTGCCCTTATATAGATATTTAAATTTCCTGCCCTGGAGCTCAAGACCACCTCTCCATACATCATACAAGCATCACAGAAGGGGTGTAACCCAAGACCACCCCCCACAAACATCATACCTACATCACAGAAAAGGTGGTCTACAACAGAAATTTGAATGTTGTTTTTCCTGTCTGCCAGGTTATCTGAAAATGCCTTATCTGATTGCCTTTCCTGGTAGTCTGGCCGTTCCTTTGAGATGGTGATTTCCCAATTCCTGAGACAATGGGAAGGTTCCCTCACCCCCTCCCTCCTTGCAGAGAAAACATTTGGTCAGTTTGGGAGTCTAAATGGTTTCAGGACGGTCTTCCTGTGCTGCTCCAGACATGTGGTTTATATATTTATGTACATGTTTACTTGGTACATTTATGAACATTTATTACATATCTAAGACCTTAAAATTCTTATAACAATTTCATAATGAAATAAATCACCTTCTGCACACACACATGTTCTGCCAAATGATAATCTTTTTCAGTGTTTTTACAATAGAGACAACTGGTCAGCTTCCTTGCTTTTTAAAAGGAACATTGTAAAAGACTTTCTTTGACCTCGCTAGACAATACTTCTGTACAGTAGGGAATAAAAAGTCAATTGAATTGTTTCTGACAGCAAAGTAACTTGTCAGTTCCTGTATCTTGTTGCGTAGGAATTCATCTGTTTCTAGTACTTATTCTTTACTTTGAAAGGCTAGGCAAAAAAAACCCAAGGAGAAATCTTGGTGAGGAAAAAAAAAGGAGTGGAGGATGGGAGGAATCACGAGGAAGGAGTAAATTATCCAAGAATGAAATATATGTATATTGTATTTCAGTTGCACTGCTGGGCTGAGCTGGGATGCATGTTGTGGTGTGAGGGCTCAGAACATTCTGTTGCTCAGGGAACTAAACAGTTGGCAGTCCCAGCTGTGTGACAGCAGATAGCGTTGTCAGTTTGGCTGGCATTAGCACCACACATAGGGCAGGCTGAGAACTGGGGAAGGTCCCAGGATATAGTGATGATAAGTGACAGGATCTGAAATGTAAGAAGGCTGAAGGAGGGCTTCAGGGTAGAATGATGTGAGAAACAAGAATCTGAGGGTATGCACTGAAGGGGGTGTGTGACAGGTGAGAAGACCATGCTCCATGTTTTCACTCTAAAGCATGGAAACCTACACAAACACATTTGTTAAACTGGTTTTTCTTATAAATGAGGGAAGGAATGGCTTTTCTCCAGCATATGATTCCCTGACAAAGCTGTATAATAATAATAATAATAATAATAATAATAATAATAATAATAATAATAATTTATTATTTATACCCCGCCCATCTGGCTGGGTCCCCCCACCCACTCTGGGCGGCTTCCAACAAAACACTAAAATACAATAACCTATTAAACATTAAAAGCTTCCCTAAACAGGTTTGGTAGTTATTTTTCTCTTTGACATCTGGTGGGAGGGCATTCCACAGGGCGGGTGCCACTACTGAGAAGGCCCTCTGCTGGTTCCCTGTAACTTGGCTTCTCGCAGCGAGGGAACCGCCAGAAGGCCCTCGGCGCTGGACCTCAGTGTCCGGGCAGAACGATGGAGGTGGAGATGCTCCTTCAGGTATACTGGACTGAGGCCGTTCAGGTAAAATGGACCTATATCACAATCTTCCTCTGGTCCTTTATGATGTCACTCAGGTGTTGCTCAGGTGTTCTGAGGAGATGGTGCTCTCAAGCTGCTTTTCAATATTGCAGGTTGCCAGGTCCCCCTGCACCTCATAGCTGCTCTGTCCCCTGTTGCAGTTTTGTTCCACCTCTATCTGCCAGAGTCACTTGCAGAACTAGATCAAAATCTCCCCTCACTGGCTGTACAGTACTTCACAAATTCCTCACATCGTATTCTTCCATCATTCCTTCTCCTCGCTCTCCCTCTCCCTCACTGTCCCCACCCTCACTTTCCCTCTTCCTAGCAGTTGTCAAGGCTTCCCAAAACCATCTTTGCTTATTCCCTGTTTTGCCCAGGCAACTACAGTGGTACCTCAGGTTACATACGCTTCAGGTTACAGACTCTGCTAACCCAGAAATAGTGCTTCAGGTTAAGAACTTTGCTTCAGGATGAGAATAGAAATCGGGCTCTGGTGGCGCGGCAGCAGTGGGAGGCCCCATTAGCTAAAGTGGTGCTTCAGGTTAAGAACAGTTTCAGGTTAAGAATGGACCTCCGGAACGAATTAAGTACTTAACCCGAGGTACCACTGTACTTCTAACCTGACAGCCTATATCCACTTCCAAAGCTATTCTAAGATTTAAATATTAACATATTTTTTTCAAATATTCCTTAAACTTCTTCCAGTCTTCTTCCACCGTCTCTTTTCTCTGGTCTCAGAGTCTCCCAGTCAGTTTGGCAAGTTCCATATAGTCCATCATCTTCATCTGCCATTCTTCAATAGTTGGTAAATCTTGTTTCTTCCTGAAGCAAAGTTCTTAACCCGAGGTACTATTTCTGGGTTAGCGGAGTCTGTAACCTGAAGCGTCCGTAACCCGAGGTACCACTGTATTTCCAAAAGGAAAGTGGGCCACTAAAAGAGCACTAAAAGCACTAAAAGAGAGTTGGTGGGCTGGGTATTATGGGTGAAGAAACTAAAGGGACATGGTATTGCTGGTCCCTGCCAGGGAAATTGTGCAGCTGTGATAGGAATTTTGAGGTCTTATATATATGGTAATGTTCATAACCGCACGTACATAGATCAGCACAGGAAGACCGACCTGAAGCCATTTTGATTCCTAAACTGAGCAAATGTTTTCTCTGCAAGGTCAAAGTGGAAAAGCCTCCCCATTGTCTTTTCCTTCACAAATCCTGTCTTAAGGGTATGTCTGTGTTTGAATAGGGTGTGAGCCTGTGACATGGCCCAGGAACTAAGTATTTATCATTACAAAAGACTGGCCAGGCTCCCCAGGCAATCCAATCAAGTAACCTGCCAGACAGGAGATAAACAAGGACAGGAGAAAAACAACATTCAAATTTCTGTTTAGACCGCCTTTTTTGTGAGGTAGGTATGATGTATCTGAGGGGTGGTCTTAGGTTACACCCCTTCTGTGATGCATGTATGATGTTTCTGGGGGTGTCTTGATCTACAGGGTGGCAATTTCAAAAGTCTTTATAAGGCCTTGCACACCATTTTTCTGGGTCCCTCCTCTCTCCTGCGGGTGAGTGGAGCACCCTATTGCAACAGATCAATAAAGGCCAAGCCTACAGGCTGCTGTTTTGCTCCAAGTTATCCTGGTTGGTGTCTTTGTTTTTGTCCAAGGGAGCCCTCGGATTTTTCCGTTAACGCAGCCACTGCAGTATTGTGAACTGGCAGACCTAAAGCTGCAATGAGGACAACAACAAAAAGGAGTGTGTGTTTGTGCATGCGTGCACACACACACTGAATTTCACATGATTGTAACTAACCAGACAGTTTTTTGTAGATTTCTAGGGCTGTATTCTAATATTGCTACTCTTGTATCTATTCTGCAAGTGGTTCTCTTTTTGTGGAACAAGGTCATGGGATACTTTTTGTATTTTTTGTGGTAGTTTTATTTACACAAAATAAACAGGCTAAGCATGGGTAAAGGTACAGTGGTACCTCGGGTTACGTACACTTCAGGTTACATATGCTTCAGGTTACAGGCTCCGCTAACCCAGAAATAGTACCTCGGGTTAAGCACTTTGCTTCAGGATGAGAACAGAAATCGTGCTCTGGCGGCGCCACAGCAGCAGGAGGCTCCATTGGCTAGAGTGGTGCTTCAGGTTAAGAACAGTTTCAGAATGCACCTCCGGAATGAATTAAGTACTTAACATGAGGTACCACTGTGTAGCTGAACTCCGGGAAATGTGCCAAATTTGTCGCACCCCTTCAGATTTCTAGGGGAACGCAGCCAGCCGCAAAATACTCTTAGCTTCCAGAATCTAAAACTTACCCACCCTCTGATTCTCTGTGACTCCAAACTCTTTCACATCCAAAGCCACCTCAATAACATGACTCCCAGCCAGGTGTCAGGAAGGAAGATAGTCTCTGGTTTATTTAGTTTCTGAGGCAATGCATTACCTCTAGCTTACATAACAAAGGAGATCTGGCCAGGGCGATTTATGTAACAAAAGAAACTAGCTTGACCATTTTAGTAATACTCCTTTTCCCCAGACCTCAGTTTTCTAACTATAGAATCACATGGCTGGAGGAGATCCCAGAAATAATTTAGTCCAACCCCAATGCTATAAAAATATTTTTTTCCCTCTGAATTATTTCCTTCAAAGAGGACCCACCAAATTTTCTTTATATAGCAACAAAAGTGCATGTTTTCTAACCCATCCAAGCTTTCCTTTTATCTTGTAATTAATCTTTAATAGTAAATTAGGTTTATTTCTGACCTTTCCATGCACTCTACTTTTTGATAAAGAGAAGTTCCACGTCGGTTGGATCGAAAAGGTACAGCACGTTAATGAATCCAGTAATGTAAGGTAATAGAATTTGAACTAATTTAATTTTTTTTTTTGTAGTCTCTGTCAGTGTCTGGTAAAATAAGACGGCTTAGATCATCTATTACACAGATAAGCCTGTGAAAGCAATTGGAAAAAATTATGTATTTGGAAAAGGAGGGAATTATGGAAGTAACTTATAGAGAAAGCTCCGAACAACAGTCTTATGATTAGTAAAGACAAGTTAATGCTATGGTGCATTTCACTTCCCACTCTCTGCCCTCCGGTTCTGTTTTTACAATTTGTGTGCCATTGATTGATTTGGCAGTTCTTAAAAGGACTATTCCTACCATTAAAGATACCTGTGGTATACAGTATTAGGGCTCAGAGCCCCCATTTAGCCATAAAACAAACCTGAATCAGCCTTCTCAGTAGCGGTGCCCGCCCTGTGAAACGCCCTCCCATCAGATGGCAAGGAAATAAACACCTATCTGACTTTTAGAAGACATCTGAAGGCAGCCCTGTTTAGGGAAGTTTGATGACTGATGTTTTATCATGTTTTTCATATTCTGTTGGGAGCCACCCAGAGTGGTTGGGGAAACGCAGCCAGATGGGCGGGCTATAAATAATAAGATTATTACCGTATTTTTTGCTCTATAAGACTCACTAAAAAGTAAGGGGAAATGTGTGTGCGTCTTATGGAGCGAATGCAGGCTGCGCAGCTATCCCAGAAGCCAGAACAGCAAGAGGGATTGCTGCTTTTGCTGCGGAACAATCCCTCTTGCTGTTCTGGCTTCTGGGATTCAGAATATTTTTTCTCTTGTTTTCCTCCTCCAAAAACTAGGTGCATCTTATGGTCTGGTGCGTCTTATAGAGCGAAAAATACGGTACTACTACTACTACTACTACTACTTCTCAGCCACCATATCTCACAGAGTTGTTGTGAGGATAAAATGGCAGGAACTGTGTACCTCCTTGGACATACATTTGCTTGCAAAAACAATAACAAAAACACAACTGAGAACCAGTATAGTGGAGAGGTTACAACACCAAAGTTGACCGGGGGTACCATTCAACCATGAAACTCAGCAGATGAACTCCAAGAGACATGCCAAATTCGTTGCACCCCTTCAGATTTCCAGGGGAATGCAGCCAGCTTTCCATCTCTTAGTCTAAGCTACTTCATTGTAGTATTTCATTGAACTCAGCTCCGGCACGTCTCAGGTGTGCACCGTTGCCGTTCTAAGAGAACAAGGGAAAAGTACATGCTGAGCTCCAGCATCTCCTTTTCTAGAAAAATATCACTGAATGAGAGAGAGCAGATTGAAGCCTCCCCTCCAAAATGGGGAAATAAAAGCCGACATTAGGGAAATTTAATGAAAAATTCACTGCTAGTCCCCAAATTATGCTCATCAGTAATAAGATGGGTTCAGAGTGTGAACAGGAAGTGTTCAGTAGTAGGCAACAGAATTATACTGATTACTGAATTTATATTTATTATTTTGTTTCCTTTTTAATTTTTGGTATATCTTATTGAAGAGTTCGGGAAATCTATTAATGTCTCCGAAAGCCATAACAGTACTTTGCCTGCCTTTAGCAAACAGGCTGGCTGGTACCACGGTTTATTTATTATGTATTTCTTATGAGAATTCTTACCAAGGCATCAAAACAATTTCCCAGGGCAGCTTACAGAACGTAAGAAAATACCATGAAAGAATAATTTAAGCAAAACGCATGAATGCCAGCAGCAGCAATTCTGATGCAGAAGGTGCTGCTTCAGAATGCCATATATGAATTTTGCTGTACTTGCTTTTTCAGTGTTGAAACAGTGTTCCTTTGATGAAACATCTCGATGCTTAATCTGTCTTAGAATGAGGGAGCAGTACCTGTATACAGAGGGACTCCCATTGGGCTGAAGAGAGTCCATCCCTCCTCAATGCATGTGCAGGGCAGTTCAGTGCAGCAGGGGCAACATGAGGAATAGGAAGTTTTTGCATGCCTGTCCTTAGGCAGAGTAAGGTGGCAAAAGCTGAGGGGAAGGGCCACGGCCAGATTTTGGTTTGATGAGGCCCTAAGCTACTGAAGGTAATGGGGCCCTTTATATGTCCAGCTGTCCTTTGTCAACAATAAATTGCCACTATTTTTTTGTGTTGATATATGTTATATGGTAATTTATAGACCTAATAGGTATCTGGGACACGGGTGGCACTGTGGTCTAAACCACTGAGCCTAGGGCTTGCCGATCAGAAGGTTGGCGGTTCGAATCCCCGTGACGGGGTGAGCTCCCGTTGCTCAGTCCCAGCTCCTGCCAACCTAGCAGTTCGAAAGCACGTCAAAGTGCAAGTAGATAAATAGGTACCGCTTTGGCGGAAAGGTAAATGGCGTTTCCATGCGCTGCTCTGGTTTGCCAGAAGCGGCTTAGTCATGCTGGCCACATGACGCCGGCTCCCTCAGCCAATAAAGCGAGATGAGCGCCGCAACCCCAGAGTCGGCCACGACTGGACCTAATGGTCAGGGGTCCTTTTACCTTTACCTTTATGGAAAGGAAAAGGGTTTGCAGAAACAGAGAGGAAATTGTTTTCCTAACAGCTTAGGGCAAGTATCCCAGAAGGATGCTTTGACTTGGAGGTCAAAAACAACAGCAACTCTCTGTCCTCTGGGGACATTTCAAGAACAATTAGTGGCAGGCCAGGCATGAGACTTGCCAGTGTAAAAGCTGTCAAAGCTTTCTCATCACAGGTCAACTGGGACAACCTATTTATTAGTTCCTTTTGTGTAGTATTAAAAAGGTAAAAAGGTAGAGGACCCTTGGACAGTTAAGTCCAGTCAAAGGCGACTATGGGGTTGCGGCGCTCATCTCTCCTTCAGGCAGAGGGAGCCGGTGTTTGTCCACAGACAGCTTTCTGGGTCATGTGGCCGGCATGACTAAACCGCTTCTGACACAATGGGACACCGTTATGGAAACCAGAGCACACGGAAACGCCATTTACCTTCCTGTTGCAAGTGCCTATTTATCTACTTGCACTGGCATGCTTTTGAACTGCTAGGTTGGCAGGAGCTGGGACAGAACAACGGGAGCTTACTCCATTGCAGGATTCGAACCGCTGACCTTCTGATCGGCAAGCCCAAGAGGCTCAGTGGTTTAGACCACAGCACCACCCGCATCCTAAGTCCCCACTCTGAAAAACTGCTGAAGAGAGGTGGGGGGAAAGATTGAAACTGGTAACACACATAAGGAGATGGAAAATAGAAACTGAGATGAGATCAAATGAAAGAAGACAAAATAAATTCATTAATTTGAGGGATTTCTGATAACAAACGCTCCTCCAGAGATTACATAGACACACAACACGGTGTTGATATCCTACCTAGAAACTGAAGGTGGCTATCAAAGGGCCCTGATCCAGCTAGGAAGCCTGCTTCCACATGCATATCCCATGAGCAGCCAAGAGGTAGAAACAAGAGTTCCTTGTACATTTTCTCTCCTGATACAACTGCCAGGTGTGGCTTTCAGAGTCCCTTTAAAAAAACCAAAATCAGTATACCATTGACAAGCAGTTTGGGAGGGGAGGCCTGGCTCCACGCCTCTGGTCAGCTATTCAGCTAAGATGTACCGGTAACTTAGTCATGTTCAGTAATTTCAGTGGGTATACTCGGAGTAAAACTTAGTTGAATCACCCTGTGCCTTTAGCTTTCCAAAAAGCTGCCTAGCCACTTTGTTTTTGGGTTGTTGTTTTCCCCAAAATGAAATCCTAATACTCATGGTCAAAACCAATAAAGGATGTGTATGATATGACACATTTTTATAAGAACGAGCCATCTCTTTGCCTTGAGCCGCTGCTCAGTTCTCGAGGAGAATTAAACATGGACACATTTTCCCGTCTCTCACCTGACACAGGTCATCATACAGGGTGACCAATTCTTCAGCGGTAAGAGAGGAACAAAAAAAATCCTGATAATATTTTCTGTGGGGTGTATCTTTCCATTTAACCAGATGGGGGCGATTTATAAACAAAACGAACACATGCCACTTTGATTAATTTCAAGGATGTTTCTACCTTGTAGTGCCATTTTTCTGTAATTCAGATCGTGTAAATTTACACTAAGAAGTTAACTTCTTAGTCACTGCCGGACTCGCTCAGTCACAGTTGGCTACATTTGGAATATCTGTTGCTATGACAACGAACAAGCCGAGCCAGATTTAAAAATAAAGTTTGTCGTTTTGCGTTGGTCCTCATATTACCGAGGATATTGCAATTATAGAAACACAACATACTGATTAGAAACCTCAATAAATACCAGCCCTACATAGAGTGAGATTATATATGAAATGTAATTAGTGGAGAAGCATTAATCCATGACAGACATATCCATGAGGTAGTGTCATTTATTGAACAGAATGTGACCCACATTTTTTTTTTAAAAAAACCCTGTTAACTCTAAATGATAAATAATTATTTCTCTCAGGTAAAATCTTATTTTTAGACCTTACAAAATTGCAGTTTTACCCCCTTTTCTAAAAGGATATTATAGAACTCGAAAAGGTACAGAAAAGGGCAACCAAAATAGTCAACTATTTAGAGC